GCTGAAAGAGCCTTTATTTTTGCATCTGCAAACTCCTTATTTTTTGTTTGAGATATGATTGGTCGTCTCCGACTTGTAGACAGGTGCCTTGTACTTGGGGATTTATCAGTGGACTTAGCAGAGCTTAAAGATTTTAATGAAGGCTTATTAGAGATTTCGAAAGCACTTGATGATTCAGAGGCTACTTTGGTTTTTGGTTTTTTATGGCGAGGGGTGGTGTCTGAAGCAGATGACACAGGCTGTGATGGGATTTCCAGAACATAGGTATTTGGTGATGAATCATCTACATTTGTTTCAATTATGCATATCTGCTCAACATCCTCTTGAGAACATATGAATTGATCAATATCCACATCAGCATGTCCATTATTTACAGGACATATAGGAAACTTCCCTAATATTTTGGTTCGAGGTGTCCTCAACTTGGCAGATGAGTATGATGACCAATCTCCATTGATTGATACCTCCTGAAATGATAGATGGTTTGAAAACAAGCAATATCTAGGAAAAATAGAGTGATTCTCTACTTCTAATTTTACTTACATTTTGATAAATATTTTCATCTTGCACTCAATCAATTGATTCCTCCTGAAATAACATATCCTTTGAAAACAAGCAATATCTAGGAAAATAGAGTGATTTTCTATTTCTCTACTTACATTTTGATAACTATTTTCATCTTGCACTTCATGTCCACCTTCCATATCATACTCACCTGTGATAAAGGAAATGATCATTGTATATCTATAATATTCATAGTACTGAACAAAACATTACTCACCATTTGACATAAGTACATCATTATCAAATTTATTGTGCAGACCAATAGCCACAGGATAAAGGAGGGCCCTAACTTTCTCATAAACAGGTCTCTCTTCAGGGCGGATATTAGTAAAAATTACTGGTGGTCCTCCACCTAGGACAGAATTACATGGGTGAATTCTGATAAGTTGCCCATACAAATTATTTGAATAAAGAACCCCATCAATTGAGCTTACCTGTTCTAACTCTGTTAACGTTTTCTTGTGTGATTAGTTTCTTGATTAATTTCTTCAGGTTCTCCCATGCATTTCTAAGAGTGGACCAAGTTCTAATCACATTTATGTTTTGAGAATTGAAATCCAAAGCAATTTCTTTCCATTCTTTGTTTTTGTGCTTCACACTAATAGCATCGGTTCGCTTGCTTTCGATAATGCTAAAACGAGCCTCAACTAAGTCCACCAGAAGAGATTTTTCTGCAATACTGAAATTGGTCTCTCTCTTTTTCCGCTCGCGCTCTTTCTTCTCAATCGAGAATTTATTTTTCAAATGGTCTTGTTTATCCATTCTTCAACTAATGAAAACACATTAAAAAAAACTAAAAAAGAACGAAAACAAACTTCGTATAATATAAACAAACTTGGGACCTTGGGAGGTTATAATAAGTAATAAGTCGTCAGTTGTCAAGAGGACTCACAGAACTTTAATTTTCCAGAAGATATTACTTATTCATGGTAATTCTACACTGTTGCCTTGTCAATTTTGAGTTTAAGTAAACGTGCCCTTGAAGAGATGATATGTACGTCAAGAAACGGCTATGATGATAATCGAGATTAAATCCTTCGTTTAACTTAAACGTAGCTTACCTGAACTGAGATTATTTCGCCACTGGTGAAACCGGGCCTTAGCCACATACAAAGTGAACAGAAAAAAGAAAGAACAGAGTGGGGAAGATGTCGTAACCTGGGAATATTTTGATAAATTTGAGTCCACTCTTGGATCAAAAGCATCTACTGCTCCACCACCTGAAACAGTTAGAAGTGTGGATAATATGGAAAAAGAAGACATCAATCAAGAGGTTTCGGATGATGAAGCATTATCTCTTAGTTCTGAAGCATCTACCAGTAGCAATATCTGCATGAGTAAGAAGAGAAAAACAAAGGAACTATGTTTCAATGATTATTTAAATAAAAAACTCAAGCGTGATGAAGATAAAGCAAGAAAGAAGAAGGAAAGATGGTCCCAGAAGAAAGAACTGAGAGAACGTGAAATAACTGCTATAGGAGCTCTTGCACGAGCTATAGCCAGTAAATACAAGAAATAAATATAAGGCTTATGTTTTGTTTATTAATGAGAATTTTATTTTCTGTTCGTGAACTTGAATAGTTAGATCCATGTTGGGTTGTTTGAATAATGTAAATGGAATGAAAATTATTTTCATTTTTTTATTAAAATACTACAAGTGGAAAATATGTTTTTTTAGTGACATATATCATTCATTATTGAATTTCTCAATTCTACAGCCAATCTATCAATAATTGCACCACCTTCAATGTCAGCTTCATCATTGTTCTGTTCTGGTTCATTAAACTCCTGGCCCTCAATTTCTGCAGATTCTTCTTTCAAAGAAATATTGTGCAAAATGCAAGTAGTAAATATGATATACTTTGCATATGATAGATTCAGGACATGTTAATATTTGAGCCTTCTAAACATTCCTTTTAGTCTGCCAAAGGCCTGCTCTATGACCACACGCGTGCTACTTAGTAATTTGTTGAACATTTTATGTCTTCGTGTTGGATGTCCATTGTCTCGAAAAGGAGTCATAATGAATGTGCGCAAAGGGTATGCTGAGTCTCCCAACAAGTATGTGTCAGGAGGTAAGATGTTTCCAGTACTGATTTTGTTATAAATTGGGGAATTTTGCCACACCCTTGCGTCATTCACAGATCCAGGCCATCCACAATAAATGTCAATAAATTCCAGCTTCGAATTGCATATTGCTTGTAGCAATATGAGTGGTACCCCTTTCGGTTATAGTAGGAATTGTCCTTAAGAGCTCCTGGTATAGGTATGTGTACCGTCCACACATCCAATAACATTTGGAAAACTTCTATTTCCCCTTAAAACATTGAAATCTCTCACTGTTTTCACTGCATCAGGACCTGTTGGCCATTTGATAAAATCCTCGACTTTCATTGATATGAGTTTGCAGGTTTTGATGAAAATGGTATGAGCGTGCCCTTTACTGAAACCAAATCGATCCCATACAGATCTCAGACTCTCTGTAGTACTCACAAGCCAGATGGTCATCAATAAACAGTCACTCAATAGAACAGGTGGTCGACCAGCAATGTGCAGTTTGTCTTGACGTATATTACTCATAAGGTTCTCAAAATTAGCTCAAGTATGGTACCTATACCTACTTTATACATTCGACTTTATAAATAGGTAATACTTACTTGTATAACGCTTTTACTAAGTCTGAAATGTGATTTGAAGTCACTATCTGAGTATAAATGAACAATTTTTGCTATATAATTCTTGTTTTTTTATGTTTTTCCCTGCGTTTCCTCATATTAAAAATAATATTTCTCCACTGTCTGTGTCTACAGATGATGAACTATCGCTAACTATCATCTTCTGGGCTAGTGAATACTCCATCCTAACCAGAGTACCAGAGCTAAGCTAACATCCAATATCGTTTATTGAATTTTGTGATAAATAGATGAATTATTCGAAGATAAATAGTTAGTTGACACCTGGTTGACACTATTCATTAGTCAACTTTCTTAACCTCACAAAATTGTATAGACAATTCAGCGAATTCATCAGTTCATAAAATCGATGGATCTGATGAAGATAGATTGTTTCCAGCGCTGAAAAAAAAAACTATGAAGTGGACTCTATCAGAATATTGTCCCGAGTAGAACATACGGTATATCATTAATTTCGAACCATGAGGGTTTTATAAACATAAAGTAAATCAAATCATCCGTTGACATTGAATTATAAAAACTGACCAAGGAACTCTCATGAGAAACGTGCATATCTAATAAAATGTTGTATATAAATATTGGATGTGAGGGTTCCGAAGTTAGTCTGGTCTGGGGCTACTCTTGACTTGACAAGAGCTCGTCGTAATGGTCGTTATAATGTAAGTTGTCATTAGGTCTTTATATTCATTGTTGTTTATTCATAATTGTTATCGCTACCCATAATGTTTCATGCTTCAATACATATTGTTATCATTGAATATAGTCTCGTACTTTCAGTTACCCCTAAATTATTAGTGCCTATTTGAATATTACCTCTCGCAAACTATTAAGCCAAGCAAACCCCTTATATATCGACATGAATAGACTAACCATCTATTTGCCATGACATGGTGGAAACACAACTCTTTTGTTGTGACATGGTGGAGGCGCCGGGCATCAATTCATTTTATAGTAAAAAATATCATTTATTTTATCGGAAACAACTCTACCGTTGTGCCATGGTGCCCGGCGCCTCCACCATGTCACAACAAAATGGTTGGCGGAAGTCCATCCATATCTATATATAAGGGGCTACTCTTGACTTGACAAGAGCTCTTCGTAATGGTCGTTATAATGTAAGTTGTTATTAGGTCTTTATATTCATTGTTGTTGATTCATATTTGTCATTGCTACCCATAATGTTTCATGCTGCGATAAATATCGTTATGTTACCCCTAAACTATAAGTGCCTATTTACATATTACCTCTCGCAAACTATCAAGCCAAGCATTACCCCTTATATATAGATATGGATGGACTTCCGCCAACCATTTTGTTGTGACAATATACTGGTGACTTTGAACACGGTTTGCTGAAAGAGTGCTTAATGCGCATTGACGATTGATGAATTTAAAAACTTGCCCATACAAATATTCATAAAAAACACCCTGATAGAGATAACTTGGAAACAGATACGAAAGATTCGAGAATTTATTAAAGAGTACGGTTATGCCTTCATTTTTCATATTAGAGAGTTATTGGAACTCTTATAAGGTCGAGCCTTATTAGTGCTGTCATTATTTTGACATATGAGCATGCGCATTGGTGACCTCTAATAAGGGAAGCATGAATTAGGTTACTGCTTGTCCCTATTTGTGTACGGGTAACGTAGTACCTAGATGGCTTTTTTCTGTACCTTATTTTCATAATTAACCTCACTTTCGATTTGAAAACATGGTAAAGTAGTGAAATAAATAAACTAAAATGAGCAAACTGCCAAGAACTTCTGTTTCGGTAGTTGGTAAATCTACAAGGGTTAGATTTACATACAACGACGACCTCGCATTTTTGAAAGAATTCTTGGCACACAACCCTATGCAGAATGAAAATGGATGGAAAGTAATACAGAGGAATCTGGAACTGATTACAAGTAAAAAATTCGCAATCCGTACCCTGAAACACCATTTTTTGCAGCTTTTAATGGAAATCTGGCTTGAAAAAGATGAAATAGAAAAATTAGGTAAGCATGTGAACATTTATAGCTTGATGATACCAAATGTTGACTAAAAAATATCTGTGAGAAGGATTTGCTACTTCAAGAAACACCTTTTTTATGCTCAGAATATGATTCTATATTAAAACGAAAAAGACCTATTTCAAAAGAGAAGCAAATCTCAGAACTGGGCAAGAAGGCAGGAAACAAACACACCTCTATATTCCTGAACACAAATGGAGAAGAACATGAAAATGAGTCTGAGAATGAAAGTAATCATGAGTCTGCCACTTCCATTTTTGAATTGGAGGACCACAATTACAGTGAGTATGGTGAATCCTGATAAATAATTTTCAATATTTCTAAACATTTAAAATTTTACTTCTAGTGAACTCTCAGGCGATCTCATTAAACATCTTAGAAGAAGTAGAGGTTTCGAATAATGATGATGATGTAGAAATAGTATTATTGGGGGACAAAAATACCAATTCTGGCTCAGGTTCAACCCCAAGCAATAATAAGGCCAAAGGGAACAAAATTTCTTTACCCAAAAGGACTCCACAGAGTGGAAGTAACATTTTAGGTAGGTAAATACCTGTATTTGAACCTTTGAGATTTCTGGATATACAATCATGTTTGATAAAGTCATGATTTTCAAAACAGTTCACAGTCACTTATTCTTTCAGTAGGTATTTTTGGGAGAAAATTAAGTGATCCATTCAATCACTTGGGAAACAAACTCCACCATTCATATTGAATGGGTCACTTTAGTGGTGAAGATAATATGCTATTATATTTCTGTTCAAAGGTACTGCTCGTAAAAGACTGAACAAAAAAGATCCAATCCGGAAAAATGCACCATTATATTTAAGTGGAAAAAGTCAGAAAGAAAATGAATTGAAAAGGAAAGAACTAGAACTAGAAGAGAGAAAACTGGCTATTGAAGAGCGACGATTAGATTTGGCAGATAGAAAATATGAACTGGATAAACAGAGGCTGGAAATAAAATCTAAAGAAAGGCTACAGAAAATTGAATAGGAAAAAGACAAAGCACAAATTGAACTACATGAAAAAAGAATTAGTGTCCAGTTGTTAGAGTCACAACAAAAACTCATTGACATAATTTTGCAGAAAGACAATACCAAGATGCAGATGTGAAAAAATATGTATCATCTTATACTCATTTTCTTTTGTAAAGAAAATATTTTGTATTGTATACTGTTTAGGTTCTTTCTTATAAATTTATGTTGAAGAAACTCTTGTAATTGTTGAATTGAATGTGAGATCCACTACATAGGTTTATTAAAGAATAAAACTGATTAAGTATTGAAATTTTTTTATTTACTAGTCGAAGTATACACAAGACTTTACATTTGAAATCATGAAATACTCAAGAATACACTTATCTAGAAGAAATATATACCTGATAGAATTTATATAAAAGTATAGAGAATTACTGTCCAAAGTATTCTTCCAGTGTGGGTGGAATTGTGTTGAAATAATCTGCTGTTAGGCTGCCATATAAGCAAGTATGGCAGTTTGTTAATAAGACTGCTACCTTAACTATTGAGTCCACATTTTGTGACAATATTTTCTGATATTTCTTAAAATCAATAAAGGCAAAAAGGGAAACAACTTTTTGAAAACCGTATTCAACTGACACCCTCAAGATTTTCATAGAGTGATTGAAATCATTTTGATGTGCAGGCAAATTTTCTGGTCTACCTGGGAATGGAGTAATTGATAATTCCATGAGGCCATATGCTTGGTCTCCAAAGAGAACATATTTTTCATTTTCCCCAAAAACAGCTTTTTGTTCCAATTCATTGTATAGCACGGAATCTCTGAAACAAAGTATATAGTTTTTAACACAATATAGTTACCTACTAAATGATTGCATTATTAGATTTTGTTCTTGTTTTGCCAGTATGAAATTCAGTAGAGTAATTAGTTAAGTATTTCATTGTCTAACCTGAAAATGCCTGCATCATGCCTTCTTCCGATGAATGCACCTTTAAAACTAGCAATTACACCATCTGGGCATAGGACAGACTGAAACTTTATACAGTGCTGCCTTTTGTGTCCTGAATAATATTCCTCCTGTATAACTGATGGTCTGCATATTGGACGAGCTGTTCCATTAATGAACCCCCAGCAGTTATCAACTGCTCCACGTTCAGCTTGAACAGCCTAAAATTGAATCAATAAATTTCACAGTAAATTTTTTCAGTACCAAAAACGAATTTATAAGTATGAGTATCTATAAATAATTAACTCACTTCTGCATAGTATAACATTTTCTCCCTATTCAGCCACTGTAAAACATTCAGGTCATTCAAGTATTGCTCCCTTTCTCGAATAATCAAATCAACAAGAGTGTTTATTATTTGGGACAGCGATTGGGACGATATGCCAAATTATTGACCTAAATCGCGAAGTCTAATTGAATAGGCTTAACGTTTCAAAAGAATACACAATGTTTTCAGTCCTAAAAAAATGGTGTGTGTCCAATGAGGTATGAGCATGATTTTGGTATATTCACCTACCACCCACTCTATTGCCAGTTTCTGTCACAATTTCCTCATCAATCTAGGAAGATCAACTCACGTAAAACGGAAATTTAGTCTAATTTCTTCATCAGTCATGTTGTTCAGGTCGAAATTATCAGGTTGCCTTTCAAAATTATTCCTATTAATAAGGATATTGTCAAGGATCAAATATTCCATGTCCTGGTCGTTGGCATTCTCCAAAATAGCGGCTAGCACCCAGGTAGCAGAGTGACGTCCATTTGACGTCATTTTTTGATCATGAAATGACGAAGTGGACGTCCAAAAATGACGTCTGAGAGACCTTATAATGACGTCAAAATGTCACAGTCATATGACGTCATACTTAGACGTCATAATGACGTCGCCGAATGACCAATAAAGGACGAAATAAAAAAAATTAGGAGGTTTATATATATACGGTATTATTGGTTCATGATAAATACACCACAAACCTTTGATGACATTCATTTTGTAACTATACGTTGTGGTAACTTGGTAGATGGTCCTCCCGGGCAGTCCTGTTGAATCCTAGCGCTATCGCTTCTACCTATGAATCTCTATATGACAATAGCGTTAGCTACTCGTATTTGTACCTAAAATTATGTAGCGAGCGTCGGCGAGATGTAAGCTGGATAAACTTATTTTTAGCTAAACTATCAATTTCTGAGAAATCCTCTGCAACAGGTCAATTTTATTTCCGATTAGCCACATTCGAAAGTGAGAATCACAGGGTGATCCACGTTTAAGTTAAGACGTCCGCGGCAATTTTTTCAATTGGAAACAATAATAACCTATATAAGATACACTCAATTTTTGAAATATTCATGGAAATCTGAATTCAAAAATATATTACACATAGGGTTTGTATACAGTGTGTCCGTTATATTGAGTCATCTCGCGTGAAGTAAATAAAGTAGCCAATCAATGTACTTATAACCATACAATTCCTTGCTGAGGAATGTCCCAAAATAGGTCGATTTTTATTTCAAATTACCATCATTATTAAGAAAAAATTGGATAAACAGGGTGATTCAAGTTTGAGTTACAACGTCCGCGACCATTTTTTCAAAGGAACACCCTATAAATTATTCGATTTTTGGAGTCTCTATAGAAAGCTGGATTCAAAAATATATGGGTTTGTATACAATGCGTTCGTTGAATTGAGTTCTTTTGCGAAGTTGCGAATAAATTTGTTGAAAATTAAAAACAGTTTTTTTTTTCATAGAATAATGCTCGAAGCTGTAAAATTTCATTTTCATTCAAGCTTCATCTCATATTGAATCAATATATACAGAATGATTCGTGTAGGAGAAATTATGTCATCTTTATATTTTAATGGCGATCCAATTTTACGAGAGAACTGAATTTTACGAACGCCCTGTATACAAACCCTTTGTGTGATATACATTTGATCACGAAAATTCAATAATATATATCCGTTTGAAAAATGTGTCGTGTTCGTCATAATACAAACGTGTATCATCCTGTAACCTTCGGAGTTCGGGCAGAACACAAGATGCCCTTTCTCAGGCTCCCAAAAATATCAGTTTATTTTCACAAATAGGGTAAGTTTAGTTTTTATCAATTGTTATTCATTGCCAAGAATAAATGTGTGTGTACGTTTTGTTTTGAAAACCTCCTGAGTATTATTTATCGTTATCATTTTTTGAAGTTCATTCTCTGATGGATCTAGAGCACAACTTAGGGAACCCCCGCCTACAGTTTGTGACATGGTGGAGGCGCCAATGGCTAGTTCTCGAGGTTGGTTCTTCATAACCAACCTCACATTTTGAAATCTCATGTTCTTTTGTTTTGTCAATTATATTATTTTTATTTTTATTTCATTGAATTCAAACAATTATTTTAGTAAGACAGTGTTCATTTTTTATGTGAGAACAGAATGTATGACACTATTCGCAGATGACACATCCATTGCTGAAGAAGCCAATAGCATTCAGGAGCTACAGACCAAACTCAACACGGTTTCCAAAAGATTTACCACGTGGTGTGAATAGAATAATCTTATTGTCAATGCTGATAAAACAGTACTGAATCCTTTCTTTGGGAGGAAGGTAGTTCAGAGATCAATCAATGTTATTGTGAATGATGAAGTCATAGAACCCTCAGAAGATACTAAATTCCTCGGCATATATATATAACAGAAGTTTTTACGCCATTCCTCAACTTGAGAATGTTCTAGATGAGAAGGCACTGTTGGATGTATATTATGCAATAGTTCATTCAGTATTGATGCAGTAGCGCACACAAGGGGGGGGGCACTGGGGCACGTGCCCCCCCCCCCCAAAGAACTGCCCGCGAACACACACAACCATTGCCAAAGCGGAACCTACCAATTTTTCGGTATTCCTATCAACATGAAGATCAGCGTATACCGAAAATTATTCAGTAATTCACCAAATTATAGTAAAATACTTTCGGTTTCTAAGATTTTTTTTCACAATTGTGAAAAAAAATCCGCAAAGCGTGATATATTTTTATATTACTCAAAATATTTTCAACATTGCCAGTATCAACAGCTACAGCAGAAAGAACATTTTCGACTTTACGAAGGCTTAAATCATATTTAAGAAATACTATGGGAGAAAATAGGCTGAATGGCCTTGCCAATTTGAATATCCATAGAGAGGTACATATAGATACGAATGAGGTATTGGATATTTTGACAGAGAGACGACCTAGGAGGCTGGATTTTGTTTTGTAAATTCCCGTTTTATTACCTACCTAGTTTGTATAGTTGAAAAATGAAAAATGTTCGTTAAATTTTCGACAGTTTGCTTATTTACCCCTTTTTTATTAGGGTCAAAATGCAAGTCTTTTAGACACATTGTGCCCCTTTCAGGCCTGAGTCCTGGGTGCGCCAATGTATTGATGTATAATATAGTGTTATGGGGTGGTTGTAGTGATATCTCGAGAGTTTTCATTGCCCAGAAACGAATAATTCGCCTAATATTCAATTTGAAGAGAACAGAGTCTTGTAGGCCATATTTCAAAAATTATAAAATTCTAACAGTTCCTAGTATTTACATTTACAGCCTGTTCTCTTACATAAAGAAAAATGAATCTCTGTTAGAAACCAATGCTCAATCACATAGATATCCTACGAGAAACGGTAATTTACTCAGATTAAGACAACACAATACTAAACTATACGAAAAATTGCCAATTCATATAGGATCTAGCTCTTTAATTGCCTGCCCGTCGGGTTGAAGACAATTTTTGGCCTAAACTCCTTCAAACGGAAAGTGAAATACTTTTTGTGCACTGAAGGATTCTATTCAGTGGAAGAATTTCTCAATCATAGTAAAACTATATTACGCGTGAACCACTGATTTCATTAATATGATTATTGTACGATGTTATTTTCTTATGTATATATAATTATATAACGTCTTTATGTGTGTTAATTATGAGACGCCGTTTGGGTCAAAAGGGTGTATCCAAATATATACTAATTCGTGCCGAAATATT